ACGCGTTTGAACTATTTTAAAATCTATTATACAATAAAGACCCTCTAAAATAATCTAAAATAATCTAAATAATTTATTAAATCATTTCCTTTTTATTCCAATACGCGCTAAACATTCTTTATATTCTCTAAATATTCATTTAATAAAAAAAGATTATTTCATATTCGGCTATGAACTTGTACAAAAATATCAAGAACAAGTTAACGCGACGCGAAACCCAAATATTTTTTCGTGTTTTAAAACCTCCAACATACATATGAACAATACATATGGTCGATTCTTTCAAAGTGCACATTCTATAAGAATAACTTTGTTACATTTTCTATAAACAAGAGAGACTCTCTAAATACAAATCGGTAATGTAATTGCGAATGCCGATCGAGGAATAGTAGTGATCATGATAAGAAATATAAAAGATACATAAAGGACGAATAGGAGAGAATTTAGCAAAGAAGCATCAAAATAATGGTAATCGTTTCACATTAGATTTGATCAAGAAGATTCTTTATTTAGACTTGACATTATTGGCGAGAGACAGTCGAAACACGTAAGGAAAAAAAAGCCATAATTAAAAAGATTAAGAAAATCAAGTGATTATAGTTGTCACTTACCAAAAAAGTGCAATAATGCAGTAACGTAATAATGCAAAGATCAATATTCTTGCAATCTAAATTCTAAAAATTTTACTTTTCTTAAAAAATAAAAGTATCGCGAATTTAGCTATATGACTATATGTGCTGTTTGGTGCATCGATTGATCCGATGTCTGATAATTGTTTATACTAGCTGAACATAGCGCACTATTTGTCGTATTTTCTATATGCTTCATTAATGTTGTGCACAAGGCTGACACCGTGATACATTAAGAGGGGCAAATTTGTTAGTACAACATCTAAATTATTACATCTGAATTTATTATACCTGAATTTATTACATCTGAATTTATTACATCTAAATTTATTACATCTAAATTTATTACATTTGAAATTTATTACATTTACATTTGGAATTTATTTACAACCGAAATTTATTACATCTGAAATTTATTACATCTGAAATTTGGTACATCTGAAATTTGTTACATCTGAAATTTGTTACATCTGAAATTTATTATAACTGAATTTATCGTCGTATCTTTTTCTATAATTTTTTTTAATATAGAAATATATTTTTCTTTTATCGGTTATCGTTTATCGGTTTATCGGTATTAGCCGAAAGGTCTATATTTAACCAAGATTCGTTAATGACACTGGCTTTGGTTCTTGACATGAAAATCATTAACACATCCAATCATTCATTTTTTCGTCAAGCAAATACTAACAATTTTTCATATTCATGGATGCAAATCTCTCATCATTTATACCATTATGTATGTTTCACATCTACTAAAGTGTAGGTAATATAACTAATTTAAGTTTTCTTTTAAAACACAAGATTATATTGCTAATTTTTCTTTTTTTTTCATGTATTTCCATGTACGTAGCTCCATTATTTCTTACATTGTGGTCAATTCCTTAACGTTAAAAGTTGTAAAGAACTAATTGGCGTCAACACATGCTAATCATTTGACTTACTTTAATGATAGCATTTGATCATTTGGCTAATCGTTGTTATTACGTAAATATCCTTATTTTTTTTATCTATACTATTATCATTTTTTATTATAATTATAAAAATAATACGTATATATATGTCACAAAAAAATAAACTAATTTAAGAAATTTGTAATATCTTTTTAGTCAAAATTCAATATTTTTCTCACGACATTTATCTCACGACATTTATCTCACTCATCTTTTAAATTTAAGACATATATTACAATATATCTTTTTATCCTCTCACAACATAATATTATTCTTTTTTTTAAAAAAAATTGTCTAATATTATATCATCTCAGCAAAAAAAAAAAAGATCTTTTTTTATTATTAGAAAAAAACACGTTCGATTCTATTTTTTCCTGATACATAATCATTATAATTAGGTAAAATAAATAAATTTATTATATCATTATTCGTATTATATCATTATTCGCGTTTCAAAATCATGAGGTTTCTAATTTTGCTTTATCTAAAACGAATCTAAAATCTATATATATAATAATAGTATTCACGCATTCGTATCTAGTGTATATTAAAAAAAAAAAAAAGAATATTTGATAGAATAATCATGAAACAATGAATGATATATGAAGGTAAGTGAGATAAAATTATAAGTTTATTAATTGTAGTAAAAACACGAGGACCTCAAACGTTATAAATAAATCAAATAAATTGTTAATCCGATGTTATGAAAATCCTTGAAAACAAATCAGCAAAAAGGTTTGTGGATCAAACACTTAGAAATTATGCAAAATGAATTAATTATGTACTTTGATAAAACTGGTACGTACTTAACTTATGTATAAGTGATATTATTAAGTATTGTCACGAAAACTAATTCTTTTGTACATTTTTTTTGTACATCGATTTTTTATCGATTTATGTCGATTCATATCGATATACATATCGGCATATACATATATATATATGTATATGTTTCAGATAACAATGGAGACAATGAAAGATTTTTAAAATCAGGTTTCAAAAAAAGATTAAAGATAATACGATCACAATTTCCATATGTAACGAATTTCTATTAACTTTAATAAAGTTAGGTATTATGTTAATTAATATTATTCTTATAAATTAATTATTTGTAACACCGGGTATATTTTGTAACGATAATCATTTTAGATTATTTCTTTTATTATTTTAGATTAAATTTTCCATCACTCCTAGCTCTAGATACTAAATATCTCTTGAAAACTTGTTAAAGATCGAGATCTAATTATATGAAATGCTATACGGGGCAATTAATTCAGGCGGTGCAGTCTATTAAATTCGGGATTTTCTTTATCAATAATTGCCGTATGTAAATAATGAATGTAAATGATGAGATGATGATTCTAGTTCTCATTCAAGTTCACATTCGCATATTCTCACACTTGTATATTCGCATTCGCATTCGTATATTCGTATATTCGCATATTTGCATTCGTATTTCGTGGAGTAATGTACAGTACACGTTTACCCTTCATACAGTACTGTATGCGGTTAGTAAATTTTTAACGTCATTCGATAGATATATATTACTAAAAATTCATACATTTTCTTATTGGTTAAGATAAAAAAAAAGGTAGTGGTAGTGAATCAATCAGAATACAGAATGTATTTATGATAATCTAGATACGGGTACGCAGGTTCGTTATTAATTTAACGTATTAAATTATGTAAAAAAACTCCTTAGAATTATTTCTCCTGAAAAATTTCTGTCATCTCATATTAAGGAAATCATAGAAATACATTATCAACTTTAAGGTCAAAAATTATTAAATCATGTTATTTCTTTTAAAAAACACGCGATTAATCTCTCCCTTAATAAAGATATTGATAACGATAAATCAATTAATTACAATTAATTATAATTAATTATAATTAATTACTTTTTTAATAATTTAATACGTACATATTTTTACACTTTATATAACATCACATGATGACCATTGTTATAACTCTTCTTAGGAATGAACTTGTTACTTCAGGCTTATCAATACATGTACGTACAATGCGACTGATAATGGTAAAGTTTGAGGATCTAGATCATACGGAGATGCATATATCGTATAACAGTCGGTGGCTTTTGACCTTTTATTTTCCTTAGGTGATTCGTAATCTTTATTTTTTTGTCATTAACCTATTAGAAAAAAGAAATCATTTAGCGTTAGGAAAAAAAAAAAAAATCTTTTTTTTGAAAAGTAAATAAGGCTGATTGCATCACATCCCTATACAATTTTAGTCGTAACGTCCTTCCTAACCAAACAACGTTCTTTTTAAAAAATGTGTGTGTGTGTATGAATATACAATGTATGAATGTATTTAGGTACTTGGATACTTACGTACGTCAAAAATTATTATTTGCACTACAACGACCTTTCTCCTGCTTTCCTTCGTGTCACATTACGTGAAGCAATTACTTTTTAGTTATCTCCTGTTTCCAAAACATTTAACGTAAATCTTAACTTTATATGTAAGTACGTATGCTATAAATGCTATGATATATGTATAATTTATCTAACGATGATGTACTACTTGACACCACAGACAACGGATTTCCTAAATTATGATTATTACGAATTACGCCTACACTTTTTATAATGATTTAACTACATCAATTTTTTTCTTTTTGGTTATTCGTATAGGTTTTTTTAGTTTTATACTGTATTTATTTATCTTTATATCCTTTCTTTTTTTTTTAAAACAAAAGAAAGTCAAGTTCCTTCAATCTTTTAATTAATCGAAAAGGTTGTACGTGTACATTTGAGCTCCGTATACAATGATCACAAAAAAATCCGAAAAATATTAAAGTTTATCCTAGCGCTAGATCATTACCTGAATAGGATGGATATGTAAGTACGTATGTACGTGCGTTGAGTAAATGAGGTTACTAATTGATTAAAAATTTGATATAACGTTAATAATTGATTGAATAATTGATTTTAATAAAAAAAAATTGATTTAAAGATAATTAAAAATAAACATTTTTTATTCTTATATTGACAGTTTTTTTTGAATATTTTAATCACTGTTAATCATAATCATTAACCGAATCATTAACCTAAACGCATATAAAGTCAACGGCGTAAATGCGTTATCAGTCAATCTTTTTTTAAAAAAAAATTCAAAGGGAAAGATATGGTAGAATTAAGGGAAAAACTATGTTGTACACCGTTAGGTAATACCATTTATAAAGAAAATTTAGGAAATTTTTTAGGAAAAAGAAAAAAAAAAGGTTACGTACGTACGTAAGTACCAGTACGTACATAAGTACATAACGTACGTACGTGCGCATAAGTTTTTTTTTTTTAACGAATGAATTTTGCTTTCTTTCGTGAAACGAATTTGTTTCCAATTTTAATACGAAACATATGACTGAATTTACAATTCAAAAAAAAAAAAAAAAGAGATGAACATAGTTAAAAACAAAACCGATATATTTGAAAAAGTCTTATCACAAGAATCTAAGAAATCCAAAGGTTTTTTTTTTTAACTCTTTCTGGTAATGTGGTACCATATGATCTGATCGGTACCTTAAAGATTATAGGTAAACACGTAACGGTCACGTTTTTCTCTTCAAATGTTGATAATTTCTCGATTGATCGATATTTTGTTAATCATGAAAAAAAACCGGAAATTTGAGTTATATTAAAATTTTCTGCTCCCGGAACATCTGATATGCACAATTTTTAAATTTGGAATTCTTTTTGTAGCACTTAAAATCGGAAACAACATCACAATAGGTCCTTGTGACTGAAATTCGTAAATATGTATATTAATATCAGGTGTGTACTGGCGTATTGTATATATATAATAGCAGATAGATAAGTACGTACGTACGTACGTAAAGTACGCCCTCATTAATTTAGTATCCCATGCTCTGAATACTCTGAACATTTTTGATTATTCTAAGCATTTATGATTATTATTATTAGAATTTGATTATTCTGCGCATTCTGAATATTTTAAGTAAATCTTTTGTTTCCCAATATATGAATTTCAATAAAAAAGTGGTAGTACGAAAAACCCGTAAATAATTTAAATAATATATCTCACATCCTGAAATTACAAGTTATACGTACCTACGTACGTAAGTTATGTGCTAACAGCTATGAATACTGATATGTATATTCTTAGCATTAATAGCAGATAGCGATAGATTACATACGTAGATACGTAACGTTGTAACGTTAGTACGTGGATTACATACATAACGTTAGTAGTAACGTTAGTAGATTAACGTTAGTAGATACGCACATAACAGATAAAGTACATACGTACGTTTGTGTGTATGTATGTAAGTATGTATGTATGTACATTTTGTGAGTATTTTATTATCTTATTAGCTAGCATGCATTTATGTAAAACCATACGATGAAGGAATTTAAATATAGAAAAATTTACATAATAATATAATAATATAATAATAATAACAATGTAATAATTTAATATAAAAATGTAATACGTACATAAAATGTAATAAAATGGAATAAAAAATGGAATAAAATGGAATAATAAAATGGAATAAAAAATGTAATAATAAATGTAATAATAAATGTAATAATAAATGTAATAATAATAAATGAGATGATAGGTAATAAAAAATATGGTCTAAAAACAATTATATTAATTTAGATGATAAGTTTATTTCAGAGAACAATAATGATTAAACCAAAATGGGTATTCATCAATGAATTAAACTATCTTGCATGAATCGATATTCTGTTAGAGATCCCATGTAGAACGAAGCAAATGGCATACATGAAATAATGAATATGAATAAGCATACATACCCTTGTTTTACCTTTTAAATGATTCTATTAATAACATAACGATATTTAATGTTGTGCTGTTGTTTCAGAAAAAATGAAGTACGTAAGTACGTACGTTGATCTGTTATTATGTTTCGCAGTTGTAATACATAATACATTTATGACAATTACGATTGGTGTCATCGAATCGGTAGATATTATATCGTTGGATTTAATATTCAAAAATTGAAACAATGGACACAATGGAAGTGATATTATGATGGTTATATTGGTTGTATTAATCGTCACTACCCTTTATATACTGTATGACATCAATTATTGTTGATCTTTTATGCAGACTTTATCTTTGATCACCTCTTCGATTTAATTACGTGTGACGTGGAAAAAAATTACAGGAGTTGTGTCAAATTTTGTGATAATTATACGTATAAATTTTATGATATTAAATATATTAAATATTTAACTAATACTAATTCAGTAATTAAATTAACTAACTAACTAATACTAATTAAACTAACTAACTAATACAATATATAACTAACGATTAACACATACAATTAACTCAAACTTATAGAATTAACTCATACAATAATTAATAATATATTCATTATAAATGTTGTATGTTTTTTTTTTCTTACTTTTCTTATTAAGGATGACTCAGAATATACGTTTTCTGATCTGACAAAAAAATCATTTTTATTTTAATTGATTCACCTTTTTTACATCACAAATCAATTATCAATTAAATAAATTGATACATAAATTTATATTGTAAAAGAATTAATAAAATTATGTATAAATGCTTAACAAATGCCTATGTAGATGATTAATAGGTCTTGGCCAGCCTGGATACTTGATATGGTATTCTAACACACACATGATTACGTTTTGCCAAAGGAACACGACAGATGAGTAAATGAAAAAAGAATTTGTAATTATCTGAATTGTAACTGAATTGTAACTGAATTGTATCTGAGTTAACCGAGTTACAAAGTGCCGAACTGCGCATGGTAATACTGTAAAGAAGAAGAGGCTTTCACTTTTACATCATTTTTAAAAGATCATTTTAGGAATATTAAAATGATTAAAATTCAATTAATTAAATTATTATAATTATTATTGCATAGCTTATCTTAAATCTTATTTCAATTAATACAAACTTGGAAATTATTTTGTTTCATGTCTCACGTCGGAGCATTCGGAGACTCAAAATTCGCGATTCTAGAAACATGTGGAACCTTACTTAATAACGTATCACCGATCATATAGAATTTTATGGAATCTATAGAATTTATGGAATTTATGAAACTTGTAAAAGTGATCAAGATCCACCAGACCCGCCGCAAATACCCGCCGCAAGATTCTCTTAATAGTGATTTACAAATTTTAGGTAACCAACATCGGAAGATCCGAACTTTGTATGATTTTATTCATTTGCATAAACGAGAGTCTAAGTTTGAGAAAGAATTTCCTTTCAGATCAAGTCTCAAAAGTACACAATGAAATCATAAATTTCTTTTTGAGATTATTATATTTAAATGTTGTGTAAAGAAACATAAAGCGCCATTTCATACATTTATACATATAAAGATTTTAGGCTAAAGCTTTATTTAACAAAAATACACTAATCAAATTTCAAGAAATCATGAACGTTGCAGCCATAATCAGATTCATATAATCTCTATGCTATTATCTTTACTTAGAATAAGGTATGTTGTAAAACGCATATACGTATCAATTAATCAATTAATCAATTAATAACCAATTCATCAATTAGTCAGTTAGTCAATTAATATACATACGTACCAATTTGTACATACAGATTATTTGTCAAGTAAGCGCATAGTTACTATTCAAGGACAAAGGATCATTGTAATCATTATTTACCAGATCATCTCAAACCTTTTTTTGGGAGGTGCCTTGCATATATTTAGCCCATATTGATAGAATTCTATATTGATAGAATTCCATATTAATAGAGTTAAAAGAAAACTTTAAAAAACGTGATATTTTCATTAGTCACATGCCTAAATAATTTTAAGTGATTTATTTTAGACAATAATTTTTTATATTTCTTTTGTGATTCGTGATAAATTCATATTTTATATAAATTTTCGCGAATTTTATAATAAATTATATAATAAAAACCATTTTTAGTAGTTCCAAAAAACGTGTCATGTGCGTTGCTAAAAGATATTTCATATTATTGATTGATTGTTAAAGAGGAACGAACATGAACGTGGCTTTATGAATAATGCGTTGAAAAATTTTACATTATTATTATTACCCAATTTGAAATCTTTTGCGCGTGAGACATATTAATATATTATTTTTATTATCCGCGGAAAAAATAAAATTTTCACTTTTGTTTTAAACTGCATCATGATAATGTTCGTTTCGATCTTTTTAATCTTTTGATTCATCTTTTTTCCCTCGAAAATATAAAATTATAATATAATAATCAAAATAAATAAAATATTAATCATAGATTAATTATATATTAATTATAAATTACTTATATATTAATTATATATTAATCATAAATTAATTAATACTATAATGATATTGAATATCGAATATCAGATATCAGATTCAGATATCGTGGGATTTTCTTAATTAATTAGCATCAATGAATTTAACAAATAAAACGGTTTATTTGTTTGTTCAATGTCCATCAAAGATCAAGGGTAAACTAATTATTTGAGTAAACTAATTATTTGTTATTTTTGTTAAGACCCAGTTTATTTTATATATTGACGTTATTATTTTGATTTTTCAGGGGCTCACGTCAAATATTTGACAACATTGATCAACGTGACGAAATATTGGCGCTTGGAAATAAATTGAATCAATAATCAATTCAATAATAAATTGTTTTATCAATTTTTGTCCATTAGAATGAGTTTTACTGAATTCGGAAGAAAGCATGAGGCAACAGGTTTCGCCAAACGTATTAAACAATGAACTCGATATAAAAAAAATTGAAATTTTTTTAACATTATTATTATCTATTCTAACTATAACTCGTAAAGTTTACATTGGATAGATCGGCATCATCGAATGACATAAGCATATAATAAACAATCAATACTCCATCAATATAACTTTCAAATATTAATCACCCAATCAGAACCTTTATAAAAAAAAATTTTTTTTTTTTTGGGAACAATGGTTTAAACTTGAACTTTGTTTAGCCAATTTGTTTGCATTAATTCCAAAAAGTCATCAGTTTATTATTATATTATTATTATTATTATTATTATTATTTCTTTATGTGAAGATGTATGTAAAAGGTTTTTTTTTTCAAATACAATAATACAATACGGGCTGAATTTATCTCATCAGAATTATAGTTTTTTTTTTATTTTTTTTTTGTAAACGGAAAAAAAAATAAATAATGGACAGCCTTTTTACCAGTAATGAATTCAATTCAATTCTTTCCATCTTTTAAAAACTGATTCAGCCAAATAACTATATCTGTTAATTCTTTTTTTAAATACGTATTTGAATCACAGTCGGTCCAAAAATTTATTTTCTGAAAAAGTGAACAATCATTAACAATCATTAGACACGCAGGGAACACCTTTCTATGATATCTTGACGTATCGGGTAATTTTCAAATAGCCGAAGAAATACAAAAATATATATATATTTTTTCATCAGAGAAAAAAAAAAGATGGGAGCACATGTCAAACAACGCAAACAGGTAAGTTGTATGAGGTTAAAGATGTCGTGTTTGACGGATTAATAACATACTTTCTTGAATTTGAAATTTTCTCATTCTGTATCTGGATTTACATACGTACTTATTTGTTCTTTCCTAAATTGTGATAGCCACGTCTTATGTCAGAAATTAAATCAATTATTTGTCCATTGATTAAATCAATAAACTTTTTTGTATCGACGAATAATGAAGAAAGCTAAAGTTGAGTTTTTTAAAGTTCTGAATAACGTATGTCACACACGTAGATTTTGATGTTCATTTACGTGGATCAAAAACACTTTCCCAATGAGTCCAATGAGTGTGAATAGTGTGTGAATAGTGTGAATGTTTAAAAATTCATTAAACCAATTTTTTTTTTGTTTTTGAATCAGTGAATAATGATTTTCGAAAATGTTAATAATGAAATAATGATGATAATGTCGTCTGAAACTACATTTATGATCAGGCTGGGGTAACTTTTATCAAAAGCCTGGAATTTTTTATATTGTTGAAAATAAAAGCTTCTGCTAATCTATTGTACATATGATCGGACACAACAGAAGCCTTGATGCTTTGTCCTACGGTAAATTCTTACATCATGCATTTTTTAAAGCGATTAGAATATCGATAAGGTTAGCTCAGTGTTACAATAATTAAGATTAGAAACATGGGTTACGTGCCCCGGGTGTTGATAGATCTTCTATCACTACCTACCGCTAATGCTTAATGCCAATGCTTAATGCTAATGCTAATGCTAATGCTAATGTCTGAACGTTAAATCACACTTAGATCACATGAACACTTGTTCTCTACGTAAAGCTGTAATGATAATATAAACTCTAATAATGATAATCTTCTAAGAAATAAGAATGATAAGAACTCTAATAAGAATTTCTAATAATAATTTCCTACGTAATAAAATTACTTGGTAAGAATTTCCTACATAAATAGTCATTATAATTTTCTACGTAATCATAATTTTCTAACGCTAATAAGAATTTCCTGTTAAGAATTACCTAATAAGAACTCTCCAATAGGAATTCTCTACGTAATAAGAATTCAATGAGAAATTTATTCAGCTTCGTCAAGTTACTCAATAAAAATTATACGTATATGTATACCGGAATCATTTCCTGTATAATTTGATTACGATTATTTTTTTCGTCAATGACTGACAAATGGTAATAATTGTTAATAATTGTTAATAACTGCTAATGATTTGATTTTTCAACATCATTACATGATAAAGCATAGTATATAGAATGATATTGACATAATTATAATATGCCACCAAATTGAGCCTCAACTTTTTGTGAGATTCATCTTAAACACCGCTTACCATATTTTATATGTCCTTTGGAATCAAAAGACCGGGTAGTACATCTAAATAAGCAAAGTTTGTAAATCTCTACATTTCATCATTTTTTAAACCAGTTTTAGATGACACAAAAATAGAAAAAAAAAATCATCCGATTAACATTAATAACTTGATCATTAACACAAAAAAAAACATTTCATCAATTAAATATCATTAAATTTTAATATTCGGATTCAAAAAAAAAACAAACCGTTAAAGGAATGGTAATAACTAATATATCTAAAACAAGGATAATCTATTGTGTTTTCTCGTTTGTTCTATCGGTGATTCATTTCCAACAAGCTTCGATCTGGATTTTTTTTTTCAACAATTATTCTAACTGATTCTAACTGATTCTAACTGATTCAAAGGTTATTGATTAAGTATCACTCACCCCCTTGGTTCACCTCTACTCAGTCCTAACTCTGAATTGAATTAGATGCAGAGAAATCCTAAACTCACAAAAAAAAAAAGAACAAAGGCAATGAACCAGAGGCTGAGCCAAACAGATATTATTACCTCATTATTAAACTATTAGAGTATAAAAGTATAGACTATTTATAACATTGATTAAATGTAAAGTTTTATCAAAAGATAAATCTTTCCTTAATACGGTATTACTTTGATGCTCGTACGTACGTACGTACGTATTTTGATAACATTGTTTTTTTTTCAAGATTAAATGATTTTTGGATTAACATCCCAAATTCCCGTACTGCACAAAATTCAATCAATTAGAAAAAATTTTCTCACGCTTCAATGTTCAATAATAAAGAAAATAATTCGAACGCAAAAAAGAAATTTTTGTCAAACTAAAAAAAAAAAAAAAAATTTTTTTTTTTTTTTGATTACGTAAATTCGAATCATTAGAAGAATTTTTAAGTCTTTTTATGCCGGTCCTTTGCGATGCAGGGTATTTGACGATCCTTGCCTTTTGGTTAAAAACATGGATTTGTTAGCGTTGGATTGCATCGATTGCGCAGAAAAAACACATGATCACGCATACATTGCATGTAACGCATAACGAAAAATTCTTATGCATTTAAAAAATTTTTTGAAATTTGAAAACAACGATTGTCTAGTTCAAAAAGCACTAATATTTCACATATATGGTAAAAATATGATTAGATAACTACTTTTTGATTTCATAAACTCTCATGTTAATTCTGTAATTGTACAAAGTGTGTGTATGCATTATGATTTCGTTATTATACTCAAATTCATTCCAACTATTATGCATTGCTGTTACGCGTATAAATAATCAATGATGTAAAAAGAACAATGTTGAAAGTTTGAATGATTACTTCAACTATAAAAAAGTGACAAAGATTCTCACTTATATAGCACTATACATGTGTGATGAATAGTACTATACATGCGTGAATTTGTACTATATATGCGTGATGAATTAGTACTATATATGCGTGATGAATTAGTACTATATATGCGTAATGAATTAGTAATATATATGCGTGATGAATTCTTGGTTCTTCCCCATGGCGTTCCGGATTTAGACCCTAGCCCTAGTCAGATTGTAGTTAGATTATAGTTATATTGTGCAAAATTTAAATGACGACTAATTCAACTTGTTTTAACCCTGTATGCAAAGTGAAAAATGAGATAAATTAACGCGTTCGGAAAATGAAAACCTGATGATTCTATGAAATTATTTACAAGTTTTACAAGTTTTTTACGAATTCATGCAATATTGCAAGATACAAGCAGTACGAAATTAAATAAAAAAAAATACATTACATTGGCGTGAGATTTTTGAGGCATTCTTTGTTTTTTTTTTTTGAAAATGGAAGAATCAGGATCCGAGCTATTCAGGTCAGTATGGCCGATTCAATGACAACTTTATGAAACCAGTTCGAAATATAAGATTTTTCCTTCTTTGTAAATTTTCTTCTTCATTCACTTACTTTTTAACCTTCTGACGCGTATATAAAAAAGTATTAGGTGATCATTGCTTAGATAATTATTTTAGATAATCATTGATTGTGATAAACCGATCGATCACGAGTCTCTACCCAAATAAAGTTATTTGTCCGGAGCTTAACGGAGAACGTTTTTTGATCCATTTTAAGGTCAAATATCCAAAAAAATATTTTTGAATTTTCCGTCCTAATGCATGCTTACACAAGAAATTTACTGTTACATATTTATCTTATTATCAAGTTATTATCAGGGCGTTAGTATTTATTTATCTTATTATCAAGTTATTATCAGGGCGTTAGTATTTATTTATTCTTACGTACGTATTCGTTTTTTGAATTAGAATTATCATTAATTCAAAACAAATAACACAATTCATACATAATATAATATATAAGTATGTATTAATACGTATCTATGTACCGATGTATATAATCATTGAATATTTAAATTTACAAATCAAATCATTAGATACATTAATTAACCATTAATTTACAAATTAAATTGTTTAGAAAGAATCATAAAACCAAATTCCTTATTAATTCAAGCAAATAATTTTGAATAATGCTCGTTGTGTATTTTTTTTTTTTGTTTCGGACTTTATTAGACTTTGTCCATAAAACATTACACCATTCTGTATACCTAAACATACCTAAACATACCTAAATATACCTAAATATACCTAAATATACTTAAATATACCTAAATTGTGTACCTAAATTGTGTATACCTAGATAAATGCACAACATACGTTATGTAATAACTTCTTAAAATGCATCACAAGACGAATCACTTACTAGAATTTAAAGCATTGTTATTAAAATTTAGGTTGATTCATTGGTTCCAAGACCTGCAGGAGACGGAATCACATTATGATGGGTAATTCCGTTTTAGGAATATAGGATTAGGAATATAGGATAAGTAATACTAAAAATACTAAATGTAGACTTATAGAAATTAAATTTTATAAAAGTAATCCTAATTTAGCAGTTATCTTATTCCGATACACATGACTTTATTAATACTTACATAAAAGAATAAACACGAGACGCGTTTATATATTTGATCACAACATTTAGGTTTTCATGCGCATTATTATTTATAAATCATATTGATTGGCCTTTTTTAAAGCCAAATTTTTAATTTTTTTTTTCAAATGATAATGATGTACTACAGTATATAATCAGAATATATTTATGTAAGTAATGTTATATCACCTTATCAAGTACATACATACATTCATACATACATACATACATAGTTATGTGAAAGTTATGCGCGCTTATCCGTGAGCTTGCTTGCTTTCTACGTACAAAATTTGATCAAACTACACCTTTGATAGTTCAATTATTACAAATAAAGAAATTCAAGTAACATCGTCCAATTTACCTGATAAAGTTTGTCATGGCTCTAGTAACCATCCTCGTTCTGCGCTAAGCCCAGATCCATTCAACAATAATTTGGCGTAAAATTTACCTTGTATTCTTTGTTTCAAGTATGAAAAAGAACTGTCAAATAGAGTTAAATTATTCTAAATCTTTTTTTTATTACTGTTGATCAACTACGCCGCTGCTTTCTACTATTTCTTTTTTTTTCATTTCATTGTGTTTATAATCTACTCTCATAACCTTCCCTCACGGGATTATGTAAGTATCTACCTATGTAAGTACATACGCATCTCATCGGCGTTCATTTTATCACCTTTATTGTTATCATTGTTTGTATGAACCTATCATCTTGTACTTTATAATGCTCATTTTATTGATTATTCCAAATTTCTTCATTACAATAATAGTTTGGTTTCAGGGGTAATCTTAACTTTCGAATGTGTTTTTAATTTATTCTTTATTTCGAATGAATCTAATTAATCTAATGAATTTAGTGATACTTGTTTGATATCTACACTAATTTAACTCCTTATGATCATTA